TACCTTTGTTTTTCTCTGTGGCGCGGGTTCTGGCGCAGCCGGTATATGTCGCGCAGATACAAGATGCGCACAATCGCAGTGGTCTATTCTCAAGGTCGAAGATGTTGACAGGACGACGTTTGGGTTAGGCCATTGTTTAGACAAGACGAAAAACAAGACGGTACGAATAGAGGGTAAAATGCTCTGACCAGGCCCCCTCTCTTCGTCGCAACTACAGGGTTAAACGCTCCTTTAGGGCTCCCTGAGACTCTCTGATCATTGCAAATTGAATAATTTGCAACCCCTTCTCGGCGAAGACGAATAAAAATTATCTAGAAATTCGAGAAGGAAAAAATAAAATAACAGAATCACTAACAGATAAACCCAATTTTTCCTTACGTGTAGAATACAACCTTTTCTCTTGTCGGTATACATTAATAATTTTTTTTTTACATACAAAATTAAAAATGTTCCAATTTAGTTGCTGATTTCTTAATTTGAAATTGTCATACGTATAAATTTGTTATGAATTAAAGAGCAACCAACTTTGAAATTTTTTTTCATGTGCTATTGGTGTTTTTAACAAATTGCGTGTGTAATGTCGCGGCGACGGCTTACCGTCGTAAGCAGTGGTGAGACTGTCTATTGACGCATCGTATCTAAAATGGAGTTTTCTACACGCTATCCCGCCTGAAACTGATAGATGGTAAGTCGTAAAGTGTTTAACACTCAAAAGTCTCGTATAGAAAAAATTGAGGAAGAAAAAAAAAGTTTGGTGGTATATTATTTTTTTTTTGCCAATAAGATAAAAAAATCATCAACTGACCATTATTATATTGAATAAAATAAAAAATAACTAATTCAAATAATGGTACCATATTGTTGCCATTTCGAAAAGTAGTTATTGTTTTTGCCGTTTTCTTCCAGTAATTACGCTTATTTTATGTAATATTTACCTTGATTACATAATAAAGGATAATAAAGAACGCTACAAAAGTTATAGAATTGAAAAACTTTCGGCCCATCAGTCCGCACTGCAGACATCTAAAATTTTCCAAACGACTTCCGATTGGCTATTACTGGAGATTCTTCTCGTAAAGCGTCCAATTCGTTGAATTTTTGGTTTTTTGTTCGTTCGCATCAATCAAACCGCAAGGTTTTTGTCCGGACGCATTGATTAAGGTCGGCGTCAACGAAACGACCCAATCTTATGCGATATATTCAACTTTGCTCTCTCGAGGAAAAGTGACGTAAAGCCAGGTGCTTATCTGGATCTCCTATGATTTCCTCTTTGTTATATCTCGAAGACTCGAAGCCATGTGTAATGTCGTCAACTTTAGTTGCAGGTTTCATTTTGACGTCGACTCGTTTCTCCTCAATTTTTTCTAAGAACGATGCCAAGTAAACAACTTCTAACAAGGCTCGCCTCATCAATATACTCTTATTAAGTATCCGCCATGATTTATGATTTTAACCAGATACGGAACTCCTGAAAGCATGACAAGGACGCGATCTCGACCCCAATTGCCACCAATTAGCGTTTTCGATGGTTAATTTCTCACTGCAACCAGAAGTGCTACGAAACATTTATCTACGTCAACTAAGCAAAGGAAGTGCCGGATTGTTACAGGATGGAATGCGAGTGGAATTTACGAGTAGAGAGGCAATTCTTTTGATTAAATTTGAAAAAAGTTTATACTGAGGAATACTAATCACAAGAAGCGAGAGAATCAATTTTATATAAAACTTTGGAATCTAGAATAATTTTATGCAAATGCGAGCAAAATAGACGGTGTTTCAGAACTCGCGCTCCAGAAAAAATTAACAAAATACAGGTGAGCCAGAACTAGCGCCTCTGAGAAAAGTGCCATGTAAGGTAACATAGAAAAAAGAGGGAACGTGGAAAAAATGTTAAAAAATTCCACCCATAAGAAAAAAATTCGAAGTTATTACAGTTTAAATTTTACACTTTGACTCTATTTATTTCTGTTCGAAAAATAATTTTCCAATTTTTTTTCTACAGGCTATTAGAAAAGGAAACAAGGAAGCTGTATCCTAAATTGTAACTCTGTTTAACGTTATTTGTGGCTTTTGTTAGCAAAATTTTTGTACATATACTAAGTAATTATAAAATAGTTATTTTCGATACAAGGGCGCTGTCAAATTATTTTTCAGATCTGAGACCAAATTTTGCGGCACGAAGCGAAGTTGGGTGCTGCAGTGAAGGTCGAAGACCTGAAAAATAAGACAGCGCAGGTGTATCGAACAACATTTTTCATGATCGTCAACGAAATTTTATAAAAAACGTGAATTTATTGAAAATTTTGAGGTTAATTTTGACATACGTCAAATTAAGTATATAAATTGAAAAATTTATATATTTAGTTATATACCACTTTTCACTTTATGCATCTAAGGGAACGATCATGAAAAAACATATACAAGTTCATCATCTTCTTCTTGGATCTTCTTGGTATGGAAACGATGAACAAAAACACGATTAGCCCGTCACACCAAACTTTTATTTTAAAAAATTAAAAAAAAAATAATGCTTAACGCATTACGATTGTTAAATTAGTTAGTTTTATTCTCACCTGAGGATGACCACTTTGTGGTTGAAACGCGTTGTGTTTTAAATAAAAGTTTGGGGTGACGGGCTAATCGTGTTTTTGTTCACAAGTTCATCAGTATAAAAATTTAAATGTCAAAATTTTTTGACATATAAAAATTTTTAAACATTTTTTCCCTGTTCCTGGTATCTTATCTTACTTGAATTTTTTCTCTGGGGCGTGAGTTCTGACACAGCCTGTATGTTACCAAAAATGCAAGCACAGAATTGACCTTTGCTTGCATGTTATGCAGGTTGCAAAACTTTCAATACACCAATGCTAGAAAAATTGATATTTTTCTTGGGGTGTGAGTTCTGAAACATTTTGACACAAAAATTTAATTGCAAGATAATAAAAGAATGGTGGAGGCGCCGGGTTTGTTAATATACATACAGGGTGCGCCAGAACTCGCGCCCCAGAGAAAAATTCTAAGTAATATAAGATACCAAAAACATGAAAAAATGTTTAAAAAATTCTATCTGTCAAAAAATTTTGACATTTATGTTTTGACATTTGACATTTTTTGATGTCTATTTAATCATACTGATGATCTTGTATATGTTTTTTACAATTACTTAGTAAAGGTTCAAAAATTTTGCTAATAAAAGCCACAAATAACGTTGAACAGAGTCACAATTTAGGATACAGCTTCTTTGTTTCCTCTTCTAATAGACTGTAGCGAAAAAACTTTACCTTTAACTTATTTTTAATTTTAACTCAAAAAATGACGTATTTTTGGTAAAAGTTGGAAATAAAAAAGTTGTTTCTCTTGACGAGTTTTATTAGTGGTTAAAAAATTGGCTCGTAAACTGCGAACACTCTGTATTAAGGTTAATTGCTTTGTTTTGGTCTAAGGAAGGTCTGATACACCTAATTATGACTCATTCGTATTTACAATTTGTTTTTTTTTGTAAATCTAGAATTTCTTCAATATTGTTATAAAAGTTTTAATAAAAAAGCCGTTAGTATTCAATTAAACGTTTCCATGAAAACCAATTTCCTGCAGTCAGTTCCTTATCCTGGGGGCCTACCACCGACTCGTGTGAGATTTCTCACTGGTGACTTTTTTCACCAAAATGACGTCATTTTAATGAGAAGTGCTAAAACCCTACTATTGACGCGATGACTTTTCTCACCGGTGACAAAACTCGAATGAAAACGCGTGAATTTTTTCGAGAGCTTTATTATGAGTGAGATTCATAGAAAACTCGAGAGATTTGACATTTGTAATAATTTAAATTCAAATGAAGAATTACTGTTGGTTTAAATGAGTAAAATATGAATTGTTTAATAAAAAAAAAGTAAGTATTTAATATTTTTGGTTTATTATCATTAAATTTCAGACAAAATTTGAAGAAAAACGCAGGTAGGTAACCCACCACACGCTCTCTTTTTTGATCTTGATGAGACTATTATTCACAGCTATTATTTCTTGCAGACGTTATCTAAATTTTGAAAATTTACTCTTTACATCGTTTTTCGCTAGTGTCGTTCTTCTATTTTTGCGTCGTACGTTTTGTTTCTCTTCGATTAATATAAAATCGGTCCTTTTCAGGACTCCTCCTTGAAGACTTTCTTCTTACAAAGGTATTAAAATTATTCTATAAACCAAATTTTTGAGCACTATATTCTGTAATCAAACTGTAGCAACTCGTCGCTGCTTGTAGTGCACAAAATGCATGATTTAATGATGCTCAATTTAATTGACGATTTGGAAGAGGAAGAAGAAGTAGATGTGCCATTGAGGCGAGCTGCTGCTGGAGATCCTTTGCGGGAATTGCCAGAAAGACAATTTGTCAAGCTGTTTCGAGTGTCCAAAGACTTATTTAATTTTATTGTAACTGTTGTGGAACCTTATATGCGTCCAAAGAGAAGCCCCAGTGATTTATCTGTCCATACTCGAGTAATTAAGCCAATAATGTAATAATGTATTAATTTTGGCCGAGTCCGCAAAAACTCGACCAGAATTTCTTTCTGCTCCTCCGTCACCTTCATAGTATTTGGATTTGGAAAACCAAAAATGGAAAAATTGGGAAAAATGTTTTGTCAAACGCTAAGCAACGAGCGCGAAAGTGCTACGTTGCAATATCTAACCGGTGACAAAACTCATCGGTGAGATTTCTCATTTCACGCAATGTCAATAGTAGCGGTTTTTAAAAATGAGTGACAAAATGCACGTGAGTTTTGTCACCGGTGAGAAAACTCATCGAAGTCGGTGGTAGGCCCCCTGATCACTGAAGTCAAGATCTCGCAAAATGACTAATTTTTTATTTCAATTTAAATCAAATTATTTGCTCTCTAATCTGGCAGATCACCAATTGATGCCTCACATCCGGCAGTATATCTCCATAATAATCATGAAATACCTCACGTCATCCCTGATTGATTGTTCTGGCATTGTGTTTGTTTCAGGGAATTGAGGACGGCCTGCAAGGACGCCCTCGCCGGCAAAAAATTTTCACAAGAAATTGGCGTTGACAAAGTGGACAAATCATTAGTTGCAAATTTCGAAATATTAAACTTAGTTCCTGAACGTAGCACCAAAGATGGCGACTTATTTAGCAATAGAAGCGAGAATGGTGAGTGCATTAAAGCAAAGTTTTCGGTTAATTAATTATAATTTCGGTTGGACAACTAACTTTATGATAATTAACTCTGTATACTGAATCTCATTACGAACTTTTAAATTACTGCTATAGTCGAGCCGAGTACTTCGAGCGTCAAGTGGAAAAGAGTTGGCTTGGTCTCCGGCAGATCTGTTCGTTTGGACACGATTATCTGGCCGGGAGGTGACCTCTCGGTGGCGGCAGTGTCGTCAAGGGCCAGAACTGTTTTCAGAGTGGTTACGGCCTTGGCACCACCCTTCGTCATGGAGAGTGAGTTGGACGAAGATGGACAGTGCCTGAGAGGTATTTTTTAATAAAACGATGTAGAAAGAAAACATCAAAAAAGAACCAATAAATTTTAATAAGTGCACTGTTTGCAAAACACAAAAACAATCGTATACTCGTATGTGTGTGTTGTTACTACCTATTTATACCGACATAATTTAAAGTTGTTATTTATTTCCGTCGTATTTTTTTCATTTATTAATTTATATTTTATATTTTACAGCATAAATTCTCATGTGTAGTTATAACAAGCTAAATAATAACTACAATAATTAAAATTTTAAATAACAAATTGAATCAACAGTTGAGAATATTGAAATTGAATTACACAAAAATTGACATTTTCTTTATAATGCTAATTTAATATGAACATGAATAATTTTAGCTAATAATATAAATTGTTAATTTTCTTATTTTTTTGTATTATTCTTTATTGGATATAGCTAACTTGAGAAGTGAATGTTTTCTAATTATAATTCTCCATTTTCTGTTTCTTGTCCTTGAAATATGACCTGATTACGTAGAAGATGGTTTACAGGACAAAGGGAAATAAAAACCATTAAATTCGTCGCGACGTTTCAATTCGATTCGATTTTATTGTATCTTCTTCAGGCGAAGAATTTTTGTTGGTTGAGTTCTTTCTTGACTGTGCCATGCTTCCCACGCTCAACCAACAAAAATCCTTCGCCTGAAGAAGATACAATAAAAGTATCGAAACATTGCCACGAATTTAATGGTTTTTATTTCCCTTTGTCCTGTAAACCATCTTCTACGTAATCAGGTTATCTAATTATGATATTAATGTTAGTAATACTCGTATGTTTTTTGTAACTATTAGTTTTGTAGTTTTCGTAAATTAAGTCATTTTGTTAATTTTTTTATTTTTCATATGAATGAAACATTGATTCTTATGCCTTTACATAAATTAAAGACGTACTTTAGAATAATATTCATCAAAGGGTGATTAATTTTAGTCAGTGATAGGTAAAAATCGATTTACATTTCCAAAAAAAAAGTAAAGCCTTAAGTGTTCAAAATACTTTTAGTATACCCTAAGTGGTCTATGAAGATAATCTATATACACTGTGTCAATTTTAAAACTTGCAATCGGCAATTTCTCTCAACTGAAAAAGTTATTAATAATCACTCAAAACCGTTTTGGTGGTTCCTAGGGGGAATTAAAATGACATGATAAGTGACGCACCTCCACCCACCCTTGAATATAATTAAAAAAATGAACATTTAACGTCTTCGTTTTTGAATAATTGGAAAAATGGCTTTACCAAATAGTTGAACAAAAACACGATTAGCCCGTCACACCAAACTTTTATTTTAATAGCACAACGCGTTTCAACCACAAAGTTGGCATCCTCAGGTGAGAATAAAACTGTTTTATGTACTGAGGATGCCAACATTGTGGTTGAAACGCGTTGTGCTATTAAAATAAAAGTTTGGTGTGACGGGCTAATCGTGTTTTTGTTCATCATTTCCATACCAAGAAGATCCAAGAAGAAGAAAAAAAAAATTACCAAATAGGCTGTTGTTTGATATTTTTTAAAAGCGCTTGTTATAGGCTTCCCAACGATGTATCGCAAGTAGGGTCGTGCCATTTAAAAATTTCAACTGAAGGTGGCTGTGGCTCAAAGGGTGGGTGGAGGAGCGTCACTTACCATGCCATTTTGATTCCCCCCAAAAACCACGGAAACGGTTTTGAGTGATTCTTAATCACTTTTTTAGTTCTAGAGATATTGCCGATTGCAAGTTTTTAAACCGCTGGAGATAAAATTTCGAAATTTTCACAGTAGATACCTTTTATAATGTAGGCATCCACTAAGAAAGGATTTTTGGAGAATCAACCCCTAAGGGGGTTGAACAAGGGTAAATGATAGTAAAATATCCGATTTTTTAAAAAAAAGTTAAATCCATGAAAATTGGTATTTGGGCTTTCAGTTGAATACAAAAAAACACGTGTTTCAGGATTTTGGAAAATTTCATCTCCAAAGGGGTCAAACAGGGGATGAAAATTTGTATAAATATTTATAAATTCGTTATTCTTTGAAGTTATACTTATGAAAATTGGGATTTAGACTTTTGGTTAAAAATGAAGAAAAGGTGTTTTAGGATTTTTGAAAATTCTACTTCCAAGGGGGTTAAACAAGGATGACAGTATATTTTAAAATTTGTCATTTTTAATGTTAAATTTTAGAAAATTGGTATTTAGGCATTCGGTTAAAAATGAAGAAATACGTGTTTCAGAATTTTTGGAAATTCCACCCCCAACGGGGTTGAACAATGGTAAAATTTCGTAAAAAGTTCGTATTTTTTTAAAGTTAATTCCATGAACATTGGTATTTGGACTTTCAGTTGAAAACCAAAAAACACGTGTTTCAGCGTTTTAGAAAATTCCATTTCCAAGGGGGTTAAACAGGGCATGAAAATTTGTATCAGAATTTGTCATTGTTAAGTAATATCCATGAAAATTCGTCCACTTTGATATTACATGCATAAAAATTGTTATTGGGGCTTTCTATTAAAAATAAAGAAAAGCATGTTTTAAGATTTTTGAAAATACCACCCCCAAGAAGGTTAAACAGGGGATGACAGTTTAAAATTAAAATAATATTAAAATTTGTCATTTTTGAGTCAACAACAGATTTTTATAATGTGTTATGGTTTATCCTTGCTGATATGGTTGTAGAAAATTTATGCATAAACGGCGTAATCGAGCCGCATATAAGGACTTCTATCCACCGAAGCAGAGCAAGCTAAGAATGGGGTGTTAAAGTTTGTGTGGAAATCATTATTGTTTGAGATTAAAATTTAGCATTCTTTAAATAAGTTATAAAAGACATACTTTTTATTTTTACTAGGACGTTCAAAATAAATTATGTGTTGCTACTTTTTGTTAGTAAGTTTCTTAGTCGTTCTGCATTTCGAAATAGTTGTGGATGTTAAACTACCACGCATGCGAAGCCGCGGGCAACAGTTAGTATTAAGTAAATTTTCCAACAAAAACAAACAATTAGTTGACAATCTGTTAACGCACACTATACATTAGAAATCATTCAATTAAATTAATTTTGTGCTTTGAATCGAGGCCACACAAGACAAGAGGTAATTAATCTTGAACAGAAATGCTTTTAGCGCCAGATAATTAACAACGATAGTCACCGTAATGTTCTAATAGAATTTTCCGGCACAAATGTTCATTAATCTCACGTTCCAGGTCTTCCATGTCATCGAGTGCTGACATCGGACAAAGACAACTTGACGTTGGTTTTCAACGAAATGCAACGTCTCGAAGAAGAAGAAGACGAGGAAGAAGAATTAAATCCAGAGTACAAACAATTCGCCAACGATTACGAAGAAAACGAGAGATTTTTCCCGTTTCAAAAATTCAAATACCGCACAAATTGTTGCTATGGCCTTTCGATGGACCTCCTCGAGAATATCGCTCAAGAACTCGAGTTCGACTTTCGCTTGTACATTGTCGCCGACGGTTTCTTCGGTTCTAAGTTACCTAATTATCGCGATCGCGACGCCGGCAAAAAATTCCCTTACAAAGACAACGACCGGGGACCTCCCGATGACGACGTCAAGTGGAACGGCGTCGTGGGTGACCTAGTGTCAGGGGCGGCGCATATGTCTTTCGCGGCCTTGAGCGTGTCGAGTGCACGCAGTGAAGTTATAGACTTCAGTGTTCCATATTTCTTTAGTGGCGTGTCGTTACTTGCCGCCCCTCAACAGACATCTGAAATACCGTTGATGGCCTTTTTGTTACCGTTCTCGCCGGAACTGTGGATTGCTATTTTTACGAGCCTCAATATCACGGCCATCGCAGTCGCGATCTACGAATGGTTATCGCCTTTCGGGCTCAACCCCTGGGGGCGGCAACGCTCCAAGAACTTCAGCATGAGTTCGGCGCTTTGGGTCATGTGGGGGCTGCTATGCGGGCACCTGGTGGCTTTCAAAGCACCGAAAAGTTGGCCTAATAAGTTTCTAATTAACGTTTGGGGCGGATTTTCGGTTATCTTCGTTGCAAGTTACACAGCCAACATTGCGGCGTTGATTGCTGGACTCTTTTTTCACAATACTGTCAGCAATTACAGAGACAGGATTGTAAGTTTTCTATTTTCATTGTTTTAAGTGAGATAAGATAAGACGTTTTGCCGGCCGTTTGAAGTTATTTCAGTAAATGAGAGAAACTTAAAACGACTCCAACTTGATAATGACAAAATTTCTCAAAGAGAAATTGCTATTAGGTGATTGTTACAGAATTGTGCATGTTAACGAGCAAATAAATGTGGGAATGTGGTTATATTGGTATTTGGTATATAATGACAGGGGAAAAGATCGACAAAGTTTTACTTACGGGAATGACAGCCGTTTTATACCAAATATGAGAAAAGTAATGCAATTCGATGAAAAATGGTGGAGGCGCCAGGAAACTTAAACATATTCTTTATATAAACAACAATTTTATGTGATGAAATTAAATAAAATTAAATAAAAATAAAATTAAAAAGTGTAATTGAGAGGGTTAGAACAACAAATTCATGTAATTTTTTTCAATCTTAAGTTAAATGTAGAAACTGAAACTAAATATTTAATTTAGGTAAAAATTTTACAATTTTGATTTAACTTAATTTAATTTACTTTAATACTAAATAGATTACAATATGTCCTAATTTGCATTTTAATACTTGGTCTATTTGGTTTCTGACGTCCTCATTTACTATAGTTTCAATGCATTTGTCTGACGATTGTAAAAGCCATATTAATATGTTTTCTTCCAACAGGGTACGAATACTACATTAATAAAAATAACCAAGAAAGTACTTTTTTTTGTAGAGAGTAATCTTAAAAAAATCATCTACATTTCTAATTAACTTTTTACACTGAACGCCACATCTGAATTGTATTAATTTATGGGTGGAATTCTCCACACCGGTAAGTTTTGTTCTAGAAAAAAAACACAATAAATAGATTTACAAACAAACACTTCTGAAAATTAATAAATAGTCCGGTCAAAATAAACATTTTAAATAACTAAAATTCCGACAGAGCTAAATTTTGGTGGAGATCTTGAGTACACCATTAGGAATAAAGTGTCAAAAGTCCCYATCGATCCCATGTGTGCTAAAAAAATTATTCGGGGTCAAAGGTCGAAATTTGACGTTTTTTAGATTTTTTTCGAAAACAGTAAGTTTTATCAAAAAAGTAGCCCAGACAAAAAATATAGATCTTGAAATTATCTACAAAATGGTACTTATACTTTTTTTCTAACAATAACCATTCCTGAGATATCGCGATTCTAAAAGTTGAAGGAGTCACGTTCTACATGGTATGCACATACAGAGTGCGTCAGAACTCCCGCTTCAAAGACAAATGCCATGTAGGGTAAGGTACCACAAACATAGAAAAAATTAAAAAAAAAATCTATCTATAAAAGTTTCAAAGTTATGAGAGTTTAAATTTTGCACTTTGACTCTATTTATTTCTGTAGGGAAAATATTTTTCCAAGTTTTTTTGCTACAGGCCATTAGAAGAAGAAACAAAAAAGCTGTGTCCTAAATTGTAACTCTGTTCAATGTTATTTGTGGCTTTTATTGGAAAAAATTTTGTACCTTCACTAGATAATTGTAAAAAAACATATACAAAATCATCAGTATTATTAAATAGACATAAAAAATAGTCAAATGTCAAAAAACAAATGTCAAATTTTTTTGACAGATAAAATTTTTTAAACATTTTTTTTATGTTCCTGGTATCTTATTTTACTTGAAATTTTTCTTCTACTACATTAAACTTATAAATATCTCGATTCCATTAGAATTAAAAAGAATTTATTTTGTAATACATACAGGTTGTTAAAAAATCGCGCATTTCCTTGAAAGGGAGTAATTGGGTAGTCCCCAGAGTACTGAAAAAATGTTTAAAAAATTCTATCTGTCAAAAAATTTTGACATTTATTTTTTGACATTTGTCATTTTTTTATGTCTATTTAATAATACTGATGACTTTGTATATGTTTTTTTATAATTATTTGATAAAGGTACAAAAATTTTGTCAATAAAAGCTACAAATAATATTAAACAGAGTTACAACTTAGGATACAGCTTCTTTGTTTCCTTTTCTAATAACCTGTAGCAAAAAAACGTGGAAAATTATTTATCCTACAGAAATAAATAAGAGTCAAAGTGCAAAATTTAAACTCTCATAACTTCGAAATTTTTATAGATAGAATTTTTAAATTTTTTTTTTATGTTCCTGGTACCTTACCCTACATGGCATTTGTCTTTGGGGCGCGAGTTCTGGCGCACTCTGTATGTGCATATGATGTAGAACGTTACTCCTTCAACTTTTAAAATCGCGATATCTCAGGAATGGTGATTCTTGGAAAAAAAGTATAAAGACCATTTTGTAGATAATTTTAAGATCTATAATTTTCGTCTGAGCTACTTTTTTGATAAAACTTGCCGTTTTCGAAAAAAATCTAAAAAACGTCAAATATTGACCTTTGACCCCGAATAACTTTTTTAGCACACATGGGATCGATGGGGACTTTTGACACTTTATTTCTAATGGTAATTTGACCGGACTGGGGTATAAATTGTCGCTTTAATACCTTGTTCTTGACTTAATAATCTGGTACTTTATTCCCTCGAGAATAAAATAGAAGAAATACCAATTTTTACTCTTAAAATAAACTGGAATTTAAGTAAATTCAATTTTTTGAGTGTTTTTTGACATAAACAAACTCTTTGATCCTGACTTTTACTCTTAAATTTACAATCGAATAATAGTTATTTATTAAACAAGACGATAAAGAGATTGTTTATCTACGAGTGAACTTATTGCACGAGTAGATAAACAATCTTTATCGTCGTGTATAATACAACATTTTTTTCTATAGCAGGTCTTAAAGTTTTAAGAGAAAAAATAAAATTTCAAAAAAAATTACAATTTTTGGCATTTCTCAATACGGAACGCCAGATTATTTTTAACGGATTTAAAGCAAGTTTAACTTTGTTGAGTCTAATTCGAAGAATAAAATGTTGTATTCAACTCGTTTGAGTGTAAATCGGACGCTTTATTCCACCTGATGGACGATAAAATTTGTAAATTTAAATGAATAAAATAAGTTAAAACATTTTATCCACAATCACTCTATGAAGAGACTTTATTCCACACTTTAGATGCGTATAAACTGCCACTTTATCCACTGGTGGAATAAAGTAACTTTATTCCACTGTTAGTAACGAGCGCACCGCGTAACAGCTTACTACATTTAACCGAAAGCACATTTAGCGTGACGTTTAAATGTCAGTTTAATTTTTAATTAAGTTTGGCATAATTTGGGCCTGTGATTGTGGATAAAACGTTATATTGCAGTCGTGTGTTAGTCGCGTTTTATCCACTTAAGATAATTAACCGCGCAAACTGACGTTCTCGCGGTTAAACATTCTTGCGTGGATAAAACGCTACCTAACACACTCTTACAATAAATAACTATTATCTATCTTTGTTGTTAAAGTGTTACTTTATCTACCCTTGCGGTTAAAGTGCTACTTTCTCTACTCAAAATAGTTGATAAAGAAATAGTTTAACATCTGCTATAGAAAAAACTAAATATTTTAACAAATTATTTGACATTGTTTGACGAGCTTTTCATTTTCTTATGTAATTAATTTAGTCTGTTGTGAGGAAAGGTTTTATTTGCATCTCTGGAATAAACATTGTTAATCCCTCAAATGAAAATGCTTTCGGCTGGATCGCCTAGTTTGGCATAATCTACATTCTGGAAATTAAAATTGTCCTTTATTGTTTTGATACATAAATAACTATTATACTCTTAAAAGATATTCCCAATTAAAACCGGCACTTGCTGTGTAAATTAATTAAAACATTATTATTAATTAACAAATTATTACTAATCCCGTTCGTTTGAAAATAAAAGTATAAAAACTTCTTGGTAAACTTTTAACCATATAGGCCCTACTACCTATTTAAAAACGTTACACATCTTTTTATCAACATTGTTTTTATTTTATTAAAAACTTGCTCACTTATAATAATAAGTAATAGGAGTAATAATTATTTTGTAGTATAACTACATAATATGACCTTTCACATGTTACGCGTATTAGTTTTTAAAAACACTGCATATAATTATATCAACACATTGGTTGTTTACAGTATAATAAATAAATAAACAATTTGTTGATTAAACCGATTTAGAAGTGCTTCTCTCCACAGTCGAGGGGTGCTAAAGCTTTTTATTTTGACTGTGGTGATGCCCTAAACTCTTACACCGACCCAGGACCACTTCTATGAGAGGGATCAGCCCGGGACTAGTAAATAAGTGTTAGACCATTGTGTAACATTTTTTCCATGTTCCTGGTATCTTATCTTATTTGAAATTTTTCTCTATTTAATGAAATAAATTTTTGAAGAATTAATCCCAGGGATAATACAGGGTTAGCCCTAGAGAAAAATTTTTAGTAAGATACCAGGAACATGAAAAAAATGTTTAAAAAATGCAATCTGTCAAAAAAATTTGACAATTATTTTTTGACATTTGCCATTTTTTATTTCAATTTAATGATACCTACTGGAGATCTTGTATATGTTTTTTTATAATTATTTAGTAAAAATACAAAAATTTTGCCAAAAGAAGCCACAAATAACATTAAACAGAGTTACAATTTAGGATACAGCTTCCTTCTTTCCTCTTCTAATAGCCTGTAGCAAAAAACACTTAGAATAAGTATTATTTTTCCAACAGAAATAAAGAGAGTAAAAGTGCAAAAAAACTTTCATCACTTCGAACTTTTATAGACAGAATTTTTTTAACATTTTTTCCATGTTCCTGGTATCTTACCTTATATGGTATTTTTCTCTAGGGGTTCTAGAGCACCCTGTATTTGTTTACAATTGTTGTTAGTTAAGTGTGAGGCCAAATTTTAAGTTCATTCGGCGACTAAAACCCTTTGTATCTTTTTGCGCGATTGATCTCTATTTGATTGTCTACTACGTCTGTTTCCAAGACAGGAAGTTGTATTTACTCGTTGCTATCTTAAACTCGTCGGTAAGTGTTTTGTTTATTGTTACTAAGCCGGTAAGCATTAAAAAATGTTCTAGAACGCTAAAAGACTTTGGCGCCCTAGAACATTTTTTAGATATGTTATTAAAAAAACTAACAAAAAGTAATCGCGCAAAAAATGTCACAAGACTCATAAGCATTACGAATGTTAAGGACTTATAGATCTCAAACAATAATTGGAATCGTTGCTTCTCTTTTCCTCCAAACAATTGTCTTCGATCGGTAAAATGTCTTTACCGTTCTTGCTTAACATACTACAGAAAGTATAAACATTTAAATAAGACAAATTGAGATATTTTTGAATCTTTTATCCCTTACTATCTCTTACATTTTTGCACAACTATTAAAATGACCCTGTATATCAATGAACACTGATCAGCAAAATTATTTGAAATATTTTTCCAACGACACACATTCTTAACACTGTGAACTTAACTGAAACTGAAACTTTTTCTTTGTTTTCATTTTCAATGGAATCAAAGTTTCCTGTACTTTGCCACTTTTCGAAAAGGCAACATGTATAGTAAATTATTGTAAATTTTTGCAAAAACAAATTTATTCATAATTTTATTGTACTGAAAGATAAATTACTTAATTGGAGATTATTTTTTAGAAAAATGTTAGACTTTTGTGTTGAACAATGTCATTTGCAGTTGGCGATATTTCATGTAATCGATCTCCAGGGTGCATCAGTTTAAATCTAGATATTAAAAGTGAGTGTCAAGTACAAACCACTTGAATGAGATGTTGTTTTAGGATTAGTTTGAAACAACATCTAAATTATTCAAAACAGCAGTGCGAAGATAAAATAAATCCAACATGGTTATATTGTTATAACAATGTATACAGTTGCATACAAAGCTTCATGTTAGAAGACACTTCTTGTTTTGGTAGTTTAAATAGGAGGCGAATTTACTTAACACTTTGTGTTAAATGTTACTCTTTAAATTGTCAGCCAGCTATTATTTTAAGTAAGATACTTACAAAAGTCAAAGATAAAGTAAATCATATTAGAGTTCAAAGAAAACTGAAATAAAGTAATCAGATCAAAAGCGTTTAAATCTGCCAAGTCTGACCTTTTGAGAAGTGACTCTTAGATGTTGTCGCATGAATTGAATTTTACAGAAATAAAATGGAAATTTTTGTCAATCTTTAAATAGGATCGCTAATGGATGAGCAGTTGAGATTACTATATTTTATAACAACAAATTCAATATTACTATTTTTTTACAGACGGTATTTTTGTATTGGTAATCGTTTATTTTATTCCCTCAGTATTTTAACCAGAGTTAATTTGATGGTTAACTTGACATGTCAAGTTTTTTACAGTTGACTTTATTTGCAGTGTTCATACTGTTCTAATCTTAATTATGTTTTGTTTTTCCGTACAACCTGGCGTGTTTCTGAAACTTGTTGTTGTTAACTGTAGTTCGATGAATTATTTATATGAAACATGGCTGTTGTAGATGTTAAACAATAAAAATTTATTGCGAAGACAGAAAAAATACTATATTAAAGAACAAGTTTTATAAGGGTTGATTTGGCGCACGAATCCCAAGTTAGAAAACGAGCCGTAGGCGAGTTTTCTATGGGATGAGTGCACCAATGCAATTATAAAACGAGTATTTTATGCTATTTTTTCTAATTTGCCCCCCCCCCTTTTTTTCTTATTTTAATTAAAAAAATATATATTTTTGTCGCCTAGAGAATTTTGTGTTAGTTGGTAACACTCGGCGCCCACCTGTTTTTTTGAGTCATTTCTGCCGTCTGTCATTAAAAATAAAATTTACAAATTATTAGTTATTAGTGTTACAACATAATAATCATAAATAAAATATGAGAAACAGAATTTAGTTTGCACTCCGCCCGAAATTGCCGAAGCAACAACGCAAAATTTGTTACCTGACAATGCCAAAAGCGGCATCCAAAAACTAAATAACCCTAAATTCATTAAAGCACAGTGTGCTTTTATAGATAGCCATAATCGACTCTTACTGGAGACGTTAATAAACGTATTATAAACGCAAATTAGAAAAAGATAATTAACAAACGCATGCACATGTCTTAGCCTTAAGTGTCGTTAGAAAAAATGAGAATTTTAGTTAATGCCACCCGATTTCTACTAAACGAATTTTGACTGAAGTACACACATCGGGTTAAAATTTTGATTAAAATTTAACAGCGATTTAGTAACCAACATTTTAATATTGTACTAAAATAAAAAGTTAATTATTTGAGGTATAGTTGCGGCCGTTGAAAACTAAGACACTTTGAAATCCGAATCCGAAAAATTGAAATTGACATTGTCATTCTTGATGAAAGCCTAATTTACACTTTACAAATTTTTAAAACAGCAAATAGCATACCAAAACTGAATGTCCCAGTTTTCAAGGGCTGCAACTATACCTTATTGTTTACTCACCGAAACAAATTATCTTTCCCACTGACCGCAAAGAATTTTAACTCCAACTTTGTTATTTTAAAATGAATATTTTAAAAATTTAATCTCGCCTCTTTAGGCGATTGTAGTTTTTTTATCGGCAAATGTCAGAAAAATTACTCAGAGAAAAATGCCATATAAGGTAAGATATCAGGAACAAGGAAAAAATGTTAAAAAATTTTTATTTCGAAGTTATGAGGGTTTAAAGTTTTTACTTTGACTCTATTTATTTCTGTTGGCAAAATAATTTTCTGATTTTTTTTGCTATAGACTATTAAAAGAGGAAACAAGGAAGCTGTATCCTAAATTGTAACTCTGTTCAATGTTATTTGTGGCTTTTATTGGCAAAATTTTTGTCCCTTTACTAAATAATTGGAAAAAAACATATACAAGATCATCAGTATCCTTAAATATATATAAATAAATGTCAAAAAATAAATGTCAAATTTTTTTGACAGATAGAATTTTTTAAACATTTTTTTCATGTTCCTGGTATCTTACCTTACTTGAAAATTTTCTCTGGGGCGCGAGTTCTGGCGCCCCTGGTTATTTTACGAGTACTACCTACTATACTATAGACATACGAATGCTTTAATAAATTTAGATTTTTTTCATATTTTAGAATTTATATTTGAAATATAAATTTTTTACTTTGTACATTCAAAAAACTGTTTTACATAAATGAAAACAAAGATGTATTATTCTAATAAAGTAAAGAGCAAAATTGGTACCTACTATTAGACATAGAACTAATGTTTCAAGGACTTAATATAAATTATTCCGAATAATCTGATTTGGAGATTTATTGTATTTTCATTGAACAAAAAGCAATTAAAATCCATACCATTTATTAAAGTCAAGAGAAACAACAGCATTATAAAACTGAATTATTATTATTATCTCCATTTATAGCATATACCGTATTGTTTCTTTCTAACTTGAAGCACAAAAATATGTAGATAAAATTTTAGTATTAGTTAATAAAGTAATTTTTTTACTAGAAATAACTACATAAACAATATTTTTTCTGTGTATGCTTGTTAATAATGTAATAATTTGCTTCTTTAGTTGTTGGATCAAAGAGTGGGCGCTCCCCGCTTTACGGCAGCCGAATATTACGTCAAAAAGGCGGATTATGAACTTTACGATCATATAAAAAAATATTCCTTGGAGAACATCGAAGAAGGCATCGATAAATTGCGTAACGGTTCTTTGGATATCCTCATCGCAGACACCCCAATTTTAGACTATTATCGAGCGACCGATCACGGTTGCAAACTTCAGAAATTCGGCGATACGTTAAACGAAGACACTTACGCAATAGGAATGACCAAAGGTTTTCCTTTGAAGGTTCGCCGGTTATACGCTCCGTTTCGCGGCTTGTAAATCGCCAATTATTCCGCAGGATAGCATCTCGGCTGTGATAGCAAAGTATTCCAGCAATGGCTACATGGACATCCTGCAGGAAAAATGGTACGGAGGCCTGCCGTGCTTTAAGCTGGCGACAGATATAGCCCAGCCGAGACCTCTAGGCGTCGCTGCCGTCACCGGGGTATTCATCCTCCTGGGAGTTGGCATAGCACTCGGCGTTCTAATCTTGCTGGTCGAACATTTATTTTTCCGCTATACTTTACCCATCCTTCGAAATAAGCCCAAGGGCTCCATCTGGCGGAGCAGGAATATCATGTTTTTCAGCCAGGTCAGAGCCGAGTGGTTTTTTTCAAGAAACTCAATACAATAATGTCGCGCTTTTATGTTTGTTTGCAGAAACTTTATCGGTTTATCAATTGCGTCGAATTGGTGTCGCCTCATCATGCGGCCCGAGAACTAGTTCACACCATACGACAGGGACAGATTACCAGTTTGTTCCAAAAAAGCATCAAAAGGGTTTGTATAAGTTTGAGTGGGTGGTTCTCTAGTGGATGTTAATTTATGTTGTCGGAACGAACGGATGAATTCGGAAACGAATTCAATATATTTCGGATAAAGGATTTCGGGATAAAAAGCAGAGAAACCCGAGCGACCTAGTTGACCATCCGTAACAAAAGAAAGTATACTTTTTGTTTTCAAAATATATCAATAGTGTTAGATAAAAGACTAAAACTTGTGAAAGGACAAATTACAGACACAAAAGAACACATTTAAACAAAGCAATAACGCAGAAAACTTTAATAAATATCACTTATTTACGAGTTCCATCCCGCTTCAAATGAACAAATTTATGTATTTTTGTTTTAAATTGGTTTACTTACAGTTTTAAAAGATCTGTTTGAGGTCACATTTGCTTCATTAAGTCGTTTCTTAAAATCGAACTAAGCTTAACAGTATTTAGAAGTAATTGTGACAAATATTTGTTCAAGAAATGTTAAAGAAAGGATGAAGCCTTTACATCGATGCCCAGTTAGATTTTCCAAAAACACATTTAAGGTCCACATTTATAAAATTAATTTTTTTGAAATCTCTGAAGTTTTATTTTAAAGAAAAGGTGAGTAGTTAGAATTAAAAGTCGCCAAATGATATACAGACATTTTTTAAATAAATGGATATTGCAACATTACCAGGTGCTATTTTAAAAATATATTTAACTTACTATATAAATTTTGCTATAAAAAAAAACAAAATAAATTTCAAAAATTAGATAAGTATAGCAGATTCCAAAGAGCTAATATAATAGTATTTTTGCAACACTAATACCTTATACTGTTTCTATGGCGCATTTAAACTTACCTCTTATGTTGCCATTAAAATACGCTTCATCTATAAAGTACGTCGTCAGTAGTAACGCTGATACATATTTTTGTCAATTTTGACAAACTTTTTTATAATAATTTCTGAATTTAGTAAAATTTGTGATTCAATATGAGTGTTGCAAAAAAATGTTGAAGATAACACGAGTTTTATAGTTTCAAAATCTCAGCCTATTAAATTCTCGCTCTCTTCGGTCGTACGAATTTAAACTACGAACTCGATTTTTATACTGTCTATAAAACTCTAGTTGTCTTAATAGCTATTACCAAATTTTTGATGAAATTCGTATTCATAAAAGCAACATCATAGGATGCAATTCCAGTTCATATCACACTTTGTATTTCACAATAAGCTCTAACCTAACCTAATCTACCTATGTATTTTAATAACTGGGTGGATAGTGCTTTTATTTGAAAACTAGATCTCATTAATTTTTTATCTATCTATTCCTAGAGCAATCTATTTTCAGGAACAAAAAGACGCCAACTAGAATCTCAAAGGGGTAGTTTGAAATCATTTTTAAAAACATTTTAAAACTATGTTAGAAATTGGTCTTTAACCAAGCAGGGCTAAACCCTAAAAATGAAAATTTAATTTAATTAATTTATTAATAAATTTAATTTAATTTTTTTTAAATTAATTAACAATTTTAATTTAATTATTAATTGAATTAATATTAACGTAGTCAAAAAATTTAAAAAGATAACAGCTTAAGCATAAAAACAGGAATTTGGGTTTTAATAGTTTTATACAAAATTTACTAACTTCAATTCCACATTTACTTTATGATGTATGAATAAAAATTACAAATACTTTGAAATTATTAGTAGAAAAACATAAATTAAATGTGGTCATTTGTTAATTTTCCTTTGTAGTTGTTTAATTTTGCATCAGTTGTTAGTCCCTCCATCCAGTGCAGGTTCTTTCTCCAAATTAGTAAATTTTCCACCCTTTGCGTATTCTGGTTTACGTGTCTAATATACTGTTTCTGTTAATACACATTAACTCTGTTTCATTAACCTCTGTACGTCAGGCCTTTGTTCTCACGGTTATTGTTTCCTCCACAACCACATTTATATTCCGTAGCGGGTGGTTTCAACTAGTGAGCAATATTTTTTTCTTTGGTGGCGAGGCGGACATGTCGATTGATCACATAAAAAAAATCGGTAAAGAATGTGTCAGATTCATCCGTTCCGTTGTTAAATGGGCGTTTCGAACGCGTCATTTGGGATTTGCGATTCCTTGATGATTATTGTTTCAGAAGGAAGACGAACAACGTAGGAGAAGAAAGAGTAAAGCGCAGTTTATAGAAATGATCCAGGAAATTAGGAGGTACGTATTAAGGTGATGGGATGCAGTACGTAAATCAACTTTAAAAAAAGTACGATTCGTAGGCAGCAGCAGGAAGAGCGAGAGCCGCCTCTCGAGCCGGTAACGGAAGTCGACTCGGAATATCAGATGTCTCCCGACGAGAAAAAATCCAAGTTAAGCCCTAGTATATTACGGCGAACGTTTATGCGATCTAGTCCCAAAGCAGAGAGTCAGAAAATTAAATCCCCGACAATGATCTTCAACAAGCCGTTGTTCAGTCCGCGATCCAAGAACAAAGCGAGGAGTTCAACGGCCCTGAACGTGCGCCGGTTTAGCACCGACAGTGTTTTCAATTCGCAGACCATGAAAATCGACCACAGCACTGCAGTGGGGCGGCGTTTAAGCAAAGACGCTTCCAGTTTCTTGACGAGCAGTCCGCCCGATATAAACAGCCGTAGATCCAGCTATTTGGACATCATAAGCTCTGGGAATAAATTATCCGGCAAAAGTCCGGTTCTATCCATAGAAAACGTTTCAGACTCCAGCTCTCGATCCAACGAACCGTTACGAAAACTGTCAGATTCGGAAAGCATAGGGCGGAAGCTGGCAACTCTCCCAAAATATCGCGAACCGATAGAACGACACCGTTTGCAACCCCAATACAGCTTAACCTTGGGCAAGAGCGACGAAACTCTCATGAAATCTGACACAACACATCTGAATCAAGTATCATCAGCGAAAAGTTTTAATAACGTGTCAGAAGTCGCTGGTAATTTATCGGACGAAGAGATAGCTCGTCGGAATAAAATGACCATGGAGCAACTCCAAGTGCAACTGAGTAAAAAACGACCGCAAGACAATAACGCCAAAACGCAAAACACCAACCCTCAGATTAGGATACAAGTAGAGGACACGACGAGGACCGAGACGGTTAGGACTCGTCGCATAAAGACGCGCCACCAGAGTCTCGGGGACTCAGTTCAAGCGCCGGAACCGGCCAAAAGGAACAAGTTAGCGGAGCAGTCAAAGTCGCTCGATGGCAATCCGACAAGGTCGAAGAAGAAACGGCCGGAGGATCTGCCCCCAGCGCCGCCGCCTCCCAATTGCTCGCCGAGGAACTCTAATGGGAGGTCGCCGCTCGAGAGGCTCTCCAAGGACGAACTGGTGTTACTATGGAGAAGCTCCGAATCGGAGCTAAGAAGCCATTTGTTGAAAGCCATCAGGGATAAGGAAGAACCAGTGGAGCCGCCTTGAACACGCGGCAGTCAAGTTCCGGGCACCTGATGGTATTTAAAATTTAAATTTATAGTAAATGATCATCATCGACCATTATCTCATCTCGGTTATTTCGTAGACTTTTGCGCAAGTCGTTGATTCAGGTTTAGGCACGATCAGATCGGAGTTGTGCCTATGAAATGAAGAAACGGCCTTAGATTTGTAGAGTGATAAGAAACGACCACTAAGTGTTATTAGAAGCCTTTATCTTTAGAGGTCGCTCAGACCTCAACGCCTTTTAACTAGGACTGGTTCTCTTTGTAGAGATTTTAACGATTGGTTATCGTCACTGATTCGGTTTCACTTTGATTGCTGTCATGTGTTATTGGGGATATATTTAACGTATAATCAAACTGAGTTTCATAAATTTGAATAATATATACTGCCAATTATATTAGAATTTTTTAAGTAGATTGGTGATATTAAAGTCTTATGCAAAATGAAACAAAGGTTATAAGAAGCCCACATTGGCGATAGCATAGATACAAAAAACATATTATAGTGTTGTTGTTTAAACACGGGCAGCATCACATTCAAACCATTTATCATAAAATCGAGTCGAAACGTGTAGCTTTAAGTAATTCAAATTTTATCTTAACTTTGGTTGACGTGACGCTGTCCAAGTTTTTAAGTCAATTTTAAAGATTTCTCTCCGTCTACTCATTAGATATAAGTATTTCTCTATCCTATTGTTGATATTTTAAAGTTTATTGGAATTGAATAATATAATTTCAAAGATATGTATATTAAAACAAACCATATGACTTGTGATGTTTATAGATACCATTTGTTTGAAATATTTTCGTAAATTTTAAACATATTAACATTAAATCACACTTTTAAAATGTGACGGTAGTTGAGCTCTCTAAATGTCTATATGATATAAATCTTATCTAAACTTGAATGACACATTCCAGAAAATATTTTAAACAAAATTTTGTTGTACATATTGTACATAGTTATTTAAGTTATGGTCACAAATTTGTAAATTATAGCTAATTTAAAAACACTTTATTGTTGACAAATATATGAACTTAGAATAATACGTTCTTTTGTTATCCCTAATTAATCGATTCTCCTCCAAAAGGATACACCTCTCACCTTGGTGAGAATTTATTTACTGCAAAACAATTTCCATAAAAACAGAAGCAAAAAAACACCTTTATGAACTTGACAGAAAATTATATTCAGTGGAATAAACACATGAATAAATTGTCGACGACAAGCAAACAGGAAGAACGCGAGTTATTACATGCTTGCTTCCATGATTAAATCTTTGTTTGGTAGTTTTCCGGATGTTTGAGCGAAACGAAACAATCTTTGCGAATACAGAACATAAAGAAAACGACGAAGATAAAAACCACCAGACCATTTACGGTCTCTAAGGGACTTGACGCTTCTCCAGCGTTTCTCCCTTGATGCATCCAGCAATTTGAGTCGTAATTTATTTTCGAGATTGGCGTTTCCAATATCTTCTCCGTTTAATGCATTTTTCAAATTTATCAAACTTAGAATTTCATCGCATTCGGCAAATAGTGAATCAGCTTTCAATCTTTCATAAAAACTTCAGCAAATCAATATCCAACGAATTGATGTTTTCATCATGGAATTCGACTCTGACAACTAAAAAAGCACTTCATCTGATGGGATTTCATCCCAAACAAATGTTTTATTTAACTCACTATTACGTCCATCAAAGCACAATTAAACACGTTCAATGCAAGTCCATATAATACGGCAGGGGATAATTTTAATTTCCGACTACCAAATTCGGTGTGTATTGTACAGATAAGGCTTATTGTGGGCTTAATTATGTTTGAAGTTTCGGCCCACATGCATTTGTGTTTAAACCGCTAATAGAACCCGAATCAACAAAACCCAAGAAATAATAACCCACAAAGGCATATACACTATTTTATTATACACTAATTCACAAAATAATATTTAATATTGTACAATCCATTTAACATAACAATGAGCGGCCATCTTCTGCTTCAGAAGTTTGCAACTTCAAAAGTTTGAAGAAGGTCTAGAAAATGTGCGATCCTCGAAAAACTTCACTTCCTGACTAGCGGTCATGTGAACCCGAACTGTTTTTAAGTGAGGCACAGATTTATAGAGACGACTTCAGCTGGATATAATTATTATAACAAAACACTAATAACATTTATACTGATTGACAGAAATTTCATTGAAGGAAATTCCAGCTGAAGCATTTTAGGAGATTTCATTTAGAAACATTGACCAAAAACATATACTTTATAAATGTAGTCAACGTGATTATCTTTTAACACTGATCTGGAAATGGCGACCTGTGAGGGGAGGTCTTGTAAGAGGGTCAAGATGAAATTGGACATCTCTTATTAAATATTATTGATCATTCGAGCTTTTTCAATGCGATCTTCAAAAAAAACTTATGCTAGATGTAAGCGACTATTAACAAATTCTCTTCGTTTTAACAATTTAATAAAATAAAAAAATCAATTCTCTAAACATAACAGCGAACATACAATTCCTATATTTACAAATTCACATTTATTCTGTTGTCTTTAATTACTTATTAACTACATACGTTTTTTTGTATTTGTTAAGCTTTCTCTACCTCCCATTCCTAGAATAACACAACACATAGTCTAAAACAAATTTGCCGTTTTAGGCCAAAGATATGATACGTTTCTTACAGAATTACATAAATATAACACATTCAGGGTTGTTTCATCTGATTCGCAAATTACGCCTTTCAGTTACAGTTGGCAACAATTTAAGATAAAGCGTAGTTTACTTGTACATTGTATCTATGCAAAACCCTGTTTTTTACAGAGTGGTCAAGTTCTACTCTAAAACCTGGATACTCTGTATCTAAAATATCCAGAACAAATTCTGAAAAAAATATATGTTTTTTTTAATAACCTGCTAATATAATTAGACAATAATTTTATAAATGTAACTCATAGGTAATTCCTTCTAAAGTACCTTTCCTGTATAATCTAATCTAGTTTTTGCTAATATTGACATTATTTTGAGTAATTTTATAAATTATAAAATGCATAGAGATGTTTTTCGAATATTGTTAAAAATGCAAAACCTTGGGATAAGAGCAAAATTTTCTTCAAAATTCTTCTCTTGTCCCGAACTATTGGTAATGTAAATGTTATAATACACACGCATGCAACACCCAAGTATAGCAACATTTTTCTGCAGTATACATACGCATGCGTATTGTCAGTCTCAATTAAATTAAATTACTATTTAAATAAGTAATAAATTTCGTCCTGGTCGAAGTTAGTATCAACAGGTAAGTGATTTTGTCCATAAAGCTATCCTGTATTATTTTTCAAGTCTGGAACGTTCAGGTTATTAGCAGTTGCAGTTTGCAGCCTGAGGCCCTTGAGGCGCATCGGTAAGACGTTGTCCCTTCGCACCTCCACTCATCAAAGTTGGATCGGTATCTAAACTATCTGACATTTTGTCGCAGATAATATCCACGAGTCGCTCAAAGACAGCCTGCAACATTATCAAGTGTCAAAAAACTGCGAGATGTTAGCTAAACCAAATCTCACCTTAACGTTAATATTCTCTTTCGCACTAGTTTCGAAAAATTCAACACCAAGTTGTTCGGCTAATTGCTTGCCTCGTTCGAAACTTATTACTCTTTCGTCTTCCATGTCGCATTTGTTTCCCACGAGGATCACCTGGGCATTGTCCCAAGAATATGTTTTTATTTGGGTTACCCTAAAAAAGCAAAAATTATATTATATTCGTACGTCTGCATTATTGCTCAAAATAGGTTTTTAAAATCACATAACATTTGTTATATCAAAAAAGTTTTAATAAAATTTTAATGTTAGGCATTTTCCCCCTGCAAGTAAAAAACTTACATTTTGAAATTTTAAATGGTAACCACATATTTTTATTGCATTTTTGAATTCTCCTCTCCAAACTGAGTAAAATGTACTTGGTTGTTAGTACTTATCTGTCATAGTCTTTGACACATGTAAATTTTTTGGTCAAAAATTTCATTTGCAGAAGTTCATTTAAAACATCACAGTTCTTGAACCATTTGCGATAAGTGAATATTTTTTTTGCATTCGATAACCAAAGGTTCGAAGAGTTTTCTAAAATTTTCAAAATTGTCAACTGTCAAATTGCAAAGCTAATATGATTTTTTGAAAATGATAATTAACAACTCAGTTTTTTCAAATAAAGTAACCTTATTTTCTCAATGGCAATTCAAGTAGAACGACTTTTATC